AGAGAGAGAGAGAGAAGACATACAATTCGAGAAGAAACCAACAATTGCCCAAATCCACAGGTATGGTGCCAACCAAATTGAGATCCTGCAAATCCAAAACTTGAAGAAACTCAATGCTCCCAAGCTCCACTGGTATAACTCCTTCAAGAAGATTCCCACTCAATCGTAGAACTGAGAGCCTTTTCAACTCACTAATGCCGTTAGGAATAGTCCCACTAAACCTGTTAAACCCTAAATCAAGAACCCTAATACTTCTGCAACCCAAAACTCCATTACCAATCTCACCGCTTAAACCATTTCCTGAAAGATCCAACAAGTCAATCGAGCCACCACAACTCCAATTCTCTGGTATTTGGCCCTGCAACTTATTGTGTGATGCATCGAAATAGCTCAAATTCGAGAGTGAAAGAAGCTCCCATGGCATTGAACCAGAGAAACTATTACCCCCAAGATCAAGAAATTCAAGGCTTTTGCAATTAGAGAGTTTATCCAAAAGGCTTCCTATTAATGAATTGTTTCTCAGAGAAATATAAGCCATGTTTAAGGACAAGCAGATCTGAGAAGGCAATTCTCCACTCAATTTGTTGAATGCAAAATCAAATCCTTTGAGTCTAGTACAGTTCCCAATCGCCAAAGGAATTTGGCCTTGAAGTCCGTTGTTAGAGAGAGAAATGTACCTGGTTTTAAAGCAATTTTGGAAAATTTCAGAAGGGATCACTCCATTAATAGAGTTTCTCGAAAGGTCAAGCATTCGCAAGCTTGCAAGGTTCCCAATGCTTGAAGGGATCTGCCCTGACAGAGCATTTCGGCTCAAATTGAGCTTCCAAAGAGAGCTTATATCCCCGTATTGAGATGGCACTGTTCCTGTAAATTGGTTGCCTGAAAGTATCAGGGTTCTCAGTGATTCCAGGCCGGAAAAATTTTCTGGCAAGACTCCCGCGAGTTGGGTATTCAAAAGAATGATCTTTTCCACTTTCCCCGCAAAGTTGCAGGTGATTCCTGTCCAATTCAGGCATGGGGTCTCATCCATTGGGTTCCATGACTCTAAGCTTTTTAATGGATCATTAGAAATGTTTGCTTTGAACTGTAAAAGAATTTCTTTTTCAGAGGCAGACTCCACCGTAAAAAATGAGAAGATTGGAAAACCAAAGATTAAATTCGCCAAAAGGATGGCAATTATTTGCCGAAATCTTTTCATATTCCTGTTACTGCATTTGCCTGAAAATTAAGGCCCATACCTTTGTCAATTTTGATGGAAAATAGTATAATACAATAAACTGGAAACTAAGATACCATCGTTTGGGGAATCCGCAGTGGAAAAGCATGGAAAATGGAGCAATAATCCCATTTTTTTTGCCCAAATTTGTTCATATAATCAGCAAAGAAAACCGTAAAAAGAAATAAATGGGGAGATAATGCAGTGGCCAGAATATTGCAGTTGCGAGTTCATCTGAAAGATAGATAGATAATGCTGCAATTTCTACAGGAATATAGACATTTCCATTGACTCTCAGCTTCAAAGGTTCAACTTCAAAAATAGCAGAAAAGCATTCTCAAAAAGGACGGAAAACACATAAACGAGGAGCTAACCCACCGGAATCCCATGATCAGCCGTATTTTCACCAGAATATGACTCCAAAACCGCCATTTTCGCCGGAATCCGGCTATCTCCCCACTGCCAATCTGGCTCAGTTCACTGAAACTAGTCAACAAATACTAGGGCAACAATTAAACCCTAGAAATCCATAACCTCAACGGCTAATTATAGCACAACCACAGTCCCAAGAAAAAAAAAAACCACAACTTCCCACTCACTCATGTTTCTTGCTTCAAGAATGAAGCAAAATCCCTTTTCTTGTGGTACTCGTTGATTTGGAGAGAGAGGTAGAGAGAGAGAGATGGATCACTTTGAATCTTCTTTTGCGAAGAGCCCAAAGCGTGTGAAGAGGGAGAAGAGGAGAGAGAGAGAGAGGAGTTGAGTCCTTGAATCTTCTTGTCGAAGAGGCCAAAGGACACAAAGACGTGTGCAGAGAGAGAGAGAGAGAGGAAGAGGTGAGAGATGGAAGAGAGAGAAAGAGTGAAGAGAGTTGAGTCCCGTTGAATCTTCTATTGCGTGTGCAGAGAGAGAAAGAGGAGAGAGAGAGAGAGAGTGAAGAGAGAGAAATAGAGATGGTGCGGGGCCAGTGTAGCTTCAGCGGTTGGCAGGCGTGCACAGGTGAGGAATTTAATTACAGCTTTAATTGTCATGGTTTGCACGTGCCGGCACTGCCCTTCGTTCTGAAACCCCCCTCTAACACGTGCCTGCTTCTTCCCCAGAGTTAAAATATTTGAGATCCGATGTCTCTCTCTACGATTTTTATTTTTCTATGACTTTTCTCTCTCTACTTTTTTTATTTTTCTATGACCTTTCGCTCTCTACAATTTATTTCAATTTTTCTGACCTTTCTCTCTCTACAATTTTTCATGGACTGCGTACGTACTCACGAAAGCCTCCTCCTGCACTTAGGCCAAAGGCAGGTGGGGGGAGTGGAATGTCTCTCTCTACCATTTTATTTATCTGAGGCCTTTCTCTCTCTACATCTTTTATTTTTCTAAGACCTTTCTCTCTCTACCATTTTTATTTTTCTATAACCTTCCTCTCTCTCTACATTTTTTATTTATCTAGGACCTTTCTCTCTCTACACTTTTAATATTTCTGTGACCTTTCTCTCTCTACAATTTTTCCTGGACTGCGATGCGTACTCGCAAAAAGCCTGCACTTAGGCCAAAGGCAGGTGCAGGAGTGGGCGAAGGAATCTGGTTGTGTTCTTTTTGTAACAGGCTTTGGATTCCCAACTTCTTCTTCAAGTTTTCCCATTCGTTTAGTAAACTAGTTTGGGTGCTCATGTTCTTCAGGAATTCAAATATGATAAATTTATTAAAATTCACTTAATAGAATAACTGATTGACAGTTTTTTTAAAAAAAATGTAAAATTGTTTTTTTTTAGAAAAATAATGTTAAATGGTTGGCAAGTCCAGAAAATTTTGATGGTTTTTTGGAACTATAATTTATTTAGCAGGCTTAGTCAATAAACTTCTCATAAGAAAAAATGGAAAAACTTCTCATAATTAAGGTTGCAACCTTAAAAATGTAGAATTATAAATGCACCTCAAAAATCCATAGTGATGAACAACTCTCTAATTGACCATCTCGACAATGAGATGTATGAATATGAAAAAAAAAAAAAGATTTTAAATCTTAAAAATAGTGCATCTTGCAACACATTATTTGGACCGTTCATTTTCAAGATTTTTATAGATCTACTTGATTTTAACCATTTTTAAAATTTAAAATTTTATAATTAGATATGAAAATAGATTTTACGATAATCCTAAAATTTTTTTACACTAAAATTATATGTTGTGATAAAATTTGGAAGTGCGCCTTACTTGGATTGTTTAAAGTTGCAACCTTATAGAAACCACACCCATAAAAAATATACCTTATTTTCCAACCATTTAATATTCTATCCTTTTCTCTACTAATCTATCTCCAAATCAGTGGAATTTTTATTTGGTATTTTGAAATTAATTTAAACTATAAAAGGTAAAATATTAAATAGTTAATATTTTAAGTGTATTATAACAAATTTCCCAATTTAAATTTATATGAGAGACTTAGGTGAGCTGGTCATTTACATCACAGACCCAATACAACACCTTTTAGAAGGTGTGAGTTAGTTCAAGTGGAGGGCTAAAAAAGAGTAAGAGACAGACCCAAAAAGACATAGTTGGCAGTACTGAGAAAAAGTACAAGATTTATATGGTCTTATTGAGAGTATGACTCTTGATAGAGTAGAATGACATACCAAAATTTATGTAGCCGACCCCAGATAATTGGGACAAGACTCTGGTGATAATGATGAGATTAAGATATAAGGCATGTGTCCACCCCCTTGGAAATCCATTTCTCCAAAATCATATTGGATGTGGCTTGATTACACAAAGTTCTATGTTATCCGAACCTTATCTGAAAAAAAACTCAATTTTGGGCTTTAAAAAGAGTCTATTTTGTATTTCCTGAGTGTTTGTTTCAATTCTTCACAAATCTTTGCATTTGATGTGCATTATTTTTTAAACACCAAATTTCTAGATTTGAGGTAGAAATGGATTTGATGAGCTTGGGATGAAATTTGAGCCCTAAATTAGGATAAAACAAAGGAGCACATGCATCCTAGGACACCAAAAGCTTTTTAAAAAAGGTTAGCTAATATTGGGCTCAAAAGCAACACCAATCGAGAAAATGGACCCAAATGCAACATTTAATACTATATCATGGGGGGAGAATCAAGATTGTTAAGTGGATTATTCAAAATATGGGAGCTAGATTAGCATCCATATATTTATTTATATTACTTTAAAATGAGAAAAAATCTGATGGGTTGAACCATCTAGTTCCTCAATACCCAGCATCTTTTGTGGGCCTAGGCCTGCAACGAATGGGATGAGAAATTAGAAGGGGGTGTCTCAAATGTTGCAAGGTTACTAAACAGAGGTGGAGGACGACGTAATAGCTGTTCACCTTTTCAGAATCTCATTCATGATTTTGCATGCAACAGTTTATTTTCTAGAATTAAAAGGGGGAAAATCATTGTTTTAAAACTCATTGATTTTTTGTTAGGACTGGTTATATAGATGGTTGAGATATAAATATATACTTCAATCTTTATTTTATTTTTATTTATTTATTAGATCATTGATTTAGACTGATCCAGATTGTCGATCCAATGATCCAACACAGATTTGTGAATGAACGATATGCCTTACCAATCCAGGTTTTAAAACACTATGAAAACAAGGGTCTTGATCTCTTACAAAATTATCAAAATTATCCGGCGTTGGAAACCCAATTAGTGTAGGCATTTTATTAATTTAACCCACTTTTGAGGTTTCCAAACCCCAAATAAATAAAAATTATCAAATTATCCTTTTGTAATGACTAATGAGGCAAAATCGGTATTTTAAAAATATCATTTGAGGAAGTATCTTAGTGAAATAAAAAAAATAAAAAAAAACCAACTATTATTAATTGGAGTCATTTGACCCCCTTGATGACATAAAAGGTTGCGACCCTTAAATAATATTTTCCCTAGGCCCCGCCCTTCTAACAACTTAGCACGGTTTTCCCTCAACTCTTTTTTTTCTCCCTTTTTTTTTTTTGGGGGGTTAATTCGGTAGGGGAAGACAGGCCTTTATCCATTTTTTCAAATAGTTTAGAAGTTAGTTTTTCTAAAAATTTTAGTGGATTGGTATCAGCAAAAACAAAAACCACGACATGGCCACTAGGGTGTGGGGTTGCTACCACGACGATCCCAATGTTGTCTCACTCAGACCTGTAACGTTCGCCGCTCTCTCTCTCTCATTCCATTCCCCAAATAAATAACAGGCGGCTCCTGCGAAGAAGCATTGGATTAAGTAAAGGAAAGCTCCTCAAGAATCTCATAAGAAGCTTGAAATTGTAAAATTGAAGGATTATTTCAACAAACATCTTTTTGCAAATCTGGGATGCTTAGACTTTTATTGCGAGGGATAAAACCCTGGGAAAGCCTAGGATTAGTTTCAGAGTGTTATGGTTCATTATGTCTCCAGATACTTTGATTCTTGAAAGAAATCTTCACGACAAGCACATAACAGATAAAGAAATCTTCACGACAAGCACATAATAGATAGAACAATAGCAAGGCTCTTCACCGAAAAACTATAACCTGTCTCTTATATTTAGTTATTGTAATTTTTGGGGTTTTCTTATGGGTGTATATGGATTCTTTTATAATTTGCTGGTTTGATTCTTTCAAGGTTTTTATAATGGGAAAAGTTTATAAAAGGCCCTACCTTAAATTGTAAAATTAAGGTGCACCTAAAAAATACATGGGAAAAGGTTGTCTTGATGTTGGAAAACATTAATCATTTCGAAATCGAGATGTATGGAACTGAAAAAAAGGAAAATTTCGAGTCTTAAAAATAAAGGTGCGGTTTGTATAGAACCGACGCTCTAATCAATCAAATTTGAGCCCATCTTTAAATAGTGTCAAGAAATAAGGTTTTAATATTGAAATTTTTGTACTAGCCATGAAATATATTTCCATTGTTAATTATAAAATTTAGAACTTCAAAAATAGTGTAGATTGAACAGATCTATGAAAACTTAAAAATCTTGAAAATTGACGGTTAAAAAATACGTTACAAAATGCGCTATTTCCAAAACTTAAAATCCATTTTTTTTCTCATGTCCATCCGTCTTGATGTCAAAATATCAATTTAATGATATTTGGATACCAATTTAATGATATAGTAAAATTTTTGAGATAGGCTCTAATTTGATTGTTTAGAACTTAAGCTCTACATAAACTTTTCCCTAAAAATAATACATCTTGTGAAAATTTATCTAGACCATCCATTTTCAAAATTTTCATGTGTTTATATATCTACTTAATTCGAATCATTTTTTGAGTTTTGAATTTTATAATAAAGGTGAATATAGATTCTCACGCTATCCTATAAATTTTTAATACCAAAATCACAACTTCGAATAAAATTTTGCAAACCTTACACAAATCACACCTTTTTATAATTGGGTGCGGTTTTTATAGAGCCTCTCCAAAGAATCAAATTAAAACCTACCTTCAACTAGTGTCAAGAAATGTGGTTTTAATATTGAAAATCTTTGTGATAGACTTAAAATATTTTTTATATTTATTTATAAAGTTTAAAGCTTAAAAAATAATGTATATCGATCGATCTATAAAAACTTAAAAATCTTGAAAATTAATGGTCCAAAAATGCATTACAAAATACATTATTTCCAAAACATGAAATCCATTTTTTTCCATGTGAATACATCTTAACGTC